GATCTCGGCGAGGCTCGGGGCCAGCACGACCGGAGAAGCAGCCTCTTCTCCCCGTCGGGGGATGCTTGAGGTCAAGTGCAGAGTCTGCGGAGATCCGAGTGCGTTCACCTCCTTAGCAACCCAGAGGTGACGAGAAGTGTGACAACAGAAAGGCCCGGTCGGAAATAAATGGGAGAAGATATTTCCAGAAGATGCAGCCATGTCTGGGGCACACAGGAACGATGCTGCACTCCCCTGAGCGTCAAAGGAGAGCAGGGGAGGGGCCGGCGCTGTGGCGTAGCAGGTAAAGCCGCCGCCTGCAAGGCCAGCATCACTTGTGGGCGCCGGTTCAAGTCCTGGCTGCTCCACTTCTGATCCAACTCCCTGCCAGTGCACCTGAGAAGGCAGTGGAAGATGGCCCAAGTGCTTGGGCCCCTGCACCCGTGTGGGAGACCTGGACAGAGTTCCTGGCCCAGCCCTGGCCCAGCCCTGGCCACTGCGGCCAACTGGGGAGTGACCCAGCAGATGGAAGAACTTTTTCGCACTGTGTCTCCCTCTGTTTCTAAATAAATAAATAAATCTTGAAAGAAAGGAAGACAGAAAGAAAGAGCGGGTGAAACCCAGGGAGCGCATCTCTCCCTGCTGCAGCCTGGCGATGTGGGCGGTGGCCTTGGTCGGGCATCAAGGGGGGCGCTGAGAAACAGGTGTCTGCGACCCCTCCACAGACGTGTCAGAGGGCAAAGTTCACGGAGCCCCAGCTGGCGGCACTGGCCGCGCGATGGGTCATCTGGAGGCACAGCCAGTCATAGGCACCATTCACAGTGATGGAGTGGTGTGTTAAAGCCAGACAACAGTCCAGCATCAATAAATAAATAAATAGTTAAGTCTCCAACAGAAGCGGCTTGGCCGGGTCAGCCGTGGGCGTGCGGGGCAGCCGCGTGAAATGCCGCATCCACCGCGTCATCAGTGGGAAACAGCCAACTGCCCAGTGCAGTTGCTCAGACCCAAGCCCCGGCCCCCGACCCCCGCCCGGTGTGGAGAGCGCTGGAGGGACCTCAACGTCCACCTTGACAGTGGGGACAGTGGTCCTGTGTCGTTTTCTACACTCCAAGGCACATGAACGCGCTTTCCATTTTAAGGAAGCGAGTGGATTGAAAGAGGAACCAAGAATGCGGCTCCCACAGGTGCAGCCGTGCTGGGTGGGAGGTAAAGCCGACCCCGACCTCTGCCCCCAAGGCAGAGGCTACCTCCCACCACCCTGCGGCAGGGTCCACTTCACACCCCAGCCCGGGGCCCCCAGACACTCCAGGCCTGTGTCCCTCGGAGGGTTGGGGTCCTGTGACATGGAGGAGAGGGGGCGGGGCAGGGTGAGCAGCTAGAAGCCCCTCAAGGCCAAGACTCCTGGAGCCAGACCAGGGGGCCACGCATAGTCAGCAGAGGTCCTGGCCCTGTCTTCTGCCTGGTGAGATCTGATGGACCCCGCCCCATGGGGCTCTCCGAGGACCCCCAAGCTGCCACCCAGGAAGGTCAGGCCCCGTGCTCCGGAGCCCGGGCCCTGCAGCGGGAGCAGACCCCGGCCACCAATCACCGCTCTGGTGGGGAGGGCTCTGGCTAGAGGGGAACTCTGGGTACAGCAGTGGGCCTGCACCACGTACTGGGGAGGGGGCACGGGAGCAGGGGCTGTCTCCCCTGACCCCAGAACCACTGGGGAGGGCCCTGGGTACAGCAGCCTAGGGCTGGGAGCCCGGTGGGCATGGACGCAGGAGTGTGTGGAGCTGACCTGCTGTGCGCCCCGTGCTCAGACGAGAAGCCCAAGCCCACATCAGCCCAGAGCTTAACCCAGACCCTGGCTCCCCTGCGCCCCCACTCTGACATCCTCGTGGCCCAGGGGCATGGGCGCGCCCCCACCCCACCCCCACAGAGCGTGTGGAGCCTTTTGCCGTCTCTGGGACGCAGATCAAGGCCGATCCTGCTCCCAGCAGCTCCCAACGTCACGGCCAGGCTCACCGCGGGAGAGCATCTTGCCTTTCAGCAGTGCCCTTGTGCGCTGAGCGCGGCCAGGTCCTCCAACGCCCACGGGCGCACTCATAAAGCCTGCCTTGTTCGGCAGGACGGAAGGCAGCCAAAGGCCCCCAACGTATTTTCTGGCACGGCCCCGGCGATGTGTAGGATGAGGAAGTGCACCTGGCGACTGTTTGCTCAGCGCTCGGGGCCGGACACCGGCAGAAGTTCAGCGCGCCCTGGAAACTGAGGGGGCCTTTCACAACGCGAAACCCACACGTCTTCCAATGGCTACAACGGCTCACATCCTGCTGGAAAAACACGGGCGGGGGGGGGGGGGGCAGGAAAGCCATGCAGAAACCAAGAATGTGCCCCCAGGCCCAGCCCCAACGCCACGCCTTTTTAAGAAACCCACCGGGCCGGAAACTTTTTCTCCCTTTTCGGGGGGGGGGAAAAAACCATCCGGTTTTCCCAAAAGACGGAAAAGGCTTGCCCCCCCCCCCCCCCTGGCTTTATTGGGGAAAATTAAGGCTGAGGGTTTTTTTTTTTCCAAAAAACCCAACCCAAGGGCCCCTGGGTTTTCGCCCAACGAAATTTAAATGAGGTCTCAGTCTAGTTAGCGGTGGAAACAGTGGGGGTGTCCAGCAGGCGAGGGGGCCCCGAGACCGCGGAATCCCAGTCGGCAGGAACAAGGAAGGCGCTGCCCAGTCCAGCAGGATTCAACACACGCAACCCTCAAACGAAGAGTGACAGCGATGGGGACGCCAAGGGGCCCCTCGGGGAGCGCCTCTGTGGTGCTGGGCAGCGCTGGATGGGACAGCACCCGGCTGCATGTGTCCACATGTGATCAGCAAACACGTGTGCACACACACACACGTGCACACAAACCCTGGTAAAACCCACGGAGGCCTGCAGCACCGCTCCCTGCTGGTGCCAATGTCCATTTCCTGTCTTTGAGAAGATGCCGTGGCCACATACATCGCCACCATCCCGGAGGCTGGGGGAAGGTTCCATGGACTCCCTAGAGTTGCGACTTCTTATAAGTCCCAAGTTATTTTCAAATAAAAGGGTTTAAAGGCACAAGTGGGGCGGCATGCTGGCACAGCTGGGTAAGCCGCTGCTTGCGAGGCCCGCATGCCACCTGGAGTTCAAGTTCCCATCCAGCTTCCTGCTGGTGCAGCTGGAAGAGCAGCAGACGCCGGCCCAAGTGCTGGGCCCCAGGGCGGAGGCCCAGATGGAGCTCCAGGTTTCAGCCTGGCCCAGCCCCAGCTGTTGCAGTTGTTGGAGAAGTAGATCAGCAGATGGACACGGACACTCTCCCTCCCTCTCCCTCTCCCTCCCTCTCCCTCTCCCTCTCCCTCTCCCTCCCTCTCCCTCTCCATCCCTATCCCTCTCCCTCTCCATCTCCCTCCCTCTCCCTCTCCATCTCTCTCCCGCTCTCCCTCTCCCTCCCTCTCCCCTGCCGCTGATATCGCTAGCTGGGCTCTCAACCGATCCCCTCTCCACTGCCTTTCTGGTGTGCTCTATGGGATTAGGATGGGGTTAGGAAAA